ACACCTACACGTTGCAGCTTTATGCCTTCGTCTGGGTGCTTAAATGATGTCATTTTTGTCATAAAATAACATTAATTGAAAAAAAATGACAAACTGTAATAGAAATTTTAGCCAACATTGAAAAGAACAATCGGAACCGAACAGTTGTTTGGCACCATTGATTTCCATTGGTTCCAGTCGTTCTTCAAAATATCTCCATTTGTGTTCAGCAGAAGAAAGAAACTCATAGGCCTACAGGTTTGCAACAACTTGAGGGTGAGTAAATTATGATTTTTGGGTGGAGTATCCCTTTAAGATTTATTAATGGCTAGCTGATTTAACTAGTTTTAGCCAGACTGTATATTCCCACCCAGCTTGACTAGCTGAAAAAAAATGTTGTCAGAAATAAAGCTCCTGAAATAATTATGAGTATGCTGAAGGATTCTACTATTTTAGAAATTAACTTTTGTACACTTTTCATGACTCATGCATTCATACTGTTATAACTTTTACATGTTTGGGAATTGGGATATTCCACTAAGAACGCATTACAAAGGGTGCAACGTTCAGAGGGTCTATCGCCTCATTCAAGATGGCTGAGTTTGGACAGGGATGAAGTGTTGCTCATAGCAGTGATATCTCAATATGCCTCCTCGTAATCTCTAAATATCTCGACTTTGATCTCGAAATATTTAGACTTTGATCTCGAAATATTTAGACATTGATCTCGAAACATTTCCACTTTAATCTCGAAACATTTCGACTTTAATCTCGAAACATTTCCACTTTAATCTCGAAACATTTCCACTTTAATCTCGAAATGATAGATTTTTTTTTTACGTTGCGGTATAGGCCTACGTGGCCTACGTAGATAGTCCTTATTTATTAGATAGCTACTTATTCCAATGGAGTCAAGTATTTAATTAAACCCAACTTGTTAAGAAAAAAATAGAACTAGTGCTTATTTTTAGTTACTAGTAACATTTTTAATCAATTAAGCTAGCTCATATAAAGCGGAAACCTATTTTTAATTTTGCATCATTCAGTATTGAATTAAAAATGTTTATTTGCCTTGATGCGTCACAAAGTGTCAACCAGGGGTGCGTTTCCTGAAAGGATTACCTCCAAATGTCATGTAGGCTATAGAAACAATGCATATAACCACAGGTCGAATGTCGTTCAAACCACACAACTTTGCGATGCTGTTTGCGAATGTTCGTAACGGGAAACACCGACTCGTTGAACTATGCTGATAACGACGGAACTTGCGACCAGTTGGCTAACAATGCTTTCGGGAAACGCACCCCAGGAGTCGGGACTATAATTTTCGTCCGTGATTTTTAACGAGACGTTTGCTGCAGTCACTTCTGCCTTGCATAGGCTATGCAGAATTTCACACAGGAATACGTTTAGTTAGATTTAACTGGAATTCTATTTACCTTTGCAAACTGAAGATGAATCTTACTATTATCGATATGATGAAGGTCCCCTATAAACGGCAAAGACCAAGGTCCAGGAGGAAAGTTCTTCGGCGTTTTATTTCTGATATAATCACTCAGCAATAAAAACACACACGAAAATATCAAAATACTTTTGATGTCGACCCACTCGTAAAGGTGCAACAGGTCCATGACTGACACTTCCTGGATTGTTGTGTCCAAGTTTAAGCGGAGGTCGACCCAGATCCAAGTGGGCAGGATTTAAATGACCGCAGTTTCCTAAAGATAATTTGCGGTTTAAAATTCCGATTTATTTGGCTCTAGTCAGCAGTGCGATGTCGTAGACATATCTCATTCTTCATGATTTGTGAATTCAGGTTTAACTCTTAGGCCTGCTTAACACCACTATCCTGATTTATTTGTGAGCTCACTTTCACAGAAGGCTGCAGTTTTGGTCTGTTAATTTTTCACTTAAAAAAAAATTGGGTCATTACTCACCCAAGTTGTAAAGGGTAAAAAAAAAAAAAGATATTTACATCTCTAATGTCAACCTTGGGTTGTTTCACCAAGTGTAGTGTTAAATGCAGAAATCGGATATATGGGCCACTTTTAAAAGAAGATTGTCAAAAAATTGGACAGGGCTATAGTCTGCGTATCGAAATTTGGCATCAAGACCTGCAGTGTAAATGCAGCCTTAAAGGTGCAAGGTGCAAAAATTTTGACATGACATCAATAACTGTGTTTTCAGTGGTGTATAAAGAACCTATATAAATCGCAATGTTTTTATTTCCTTAGAATGAGACATTTAGATCTACAGAACTGCGGGCACCCCCTTCTATGAAGGTCGACATATTGTGACGTCATGTTTCTACCATAGCCGACAGCGAACAAACAGCGCAGAGCGCGTTCCATCACCTTGAAAGAGAAGCTGCAGAAAGCTAAGCTAGCCATAAACACAGTGAGTAGTGACTTTTCCCTTGGTGTAAAATATGTAGTTGGATTGTTTCTAGGGATGTCAAACGATTAATCGTGATTAATCGCATCCAAAATAAAAGTTTGTGTTTACATAATATATGTGGGTGCACTGTGTATAATTATTTTGTATGTATAAATACACACACATGCTTGTATATATTTAAGAAATATTTTCATATACTGTATATAGTCAGAGGAGAGTTCAAGAGATTTCCATGACGCATGCGCGAGAACTACGTTATTGTTCAACTACTTCTTGTTCATTTCTAGCACATGCGTCGTGGAAATCTCTTACTCTTCTAGCACATGCGTCGTGGAAATCTCTAACTCTCCTCTTAGGTCCAGAAGGAAGAAAAGGAATAGTCAAATAAAGTCGTTATTTTTGCTGTTGTTTTTCGCACAAAAAGTATTCTCGTCGCTTGATAAAGTTATAGTTGACCCACTGTTGTCACATGGAATATTTAAACATTTTCTTCAATGACTTTCTGGGCCGTCAAGTTTCAATCCCTTAGGGTACCAATGTGGCAGTGATACAGCTCTCAAATTTAATCAAAAATATCTTAATTTGTGTTCCGAAGATGAACAAAGGTCTTACGGGGTTGAATAATTAGTGATTTAATTTTCATTTTTGGGTGAACTATTTCTAGTATATTTGCAATGTACTTTTGAAAAAAGGAATATATTTCAAATACAATAAAGTATACTTTTTTTCCAGGAGAAAGGAGAGCTTGAGGAGCTGAGAGAGGCTATAGAGTCTCACAAGGTAAATTTAGAGGAGAACAAACTAACTCAGCTTAGTAAGCCATATTAATTATTTGATTGACATACCATATGACCATCATTGTCCTCATGATTGAATATTGGTAATACATCTTTAGGTTGAATGGGTAGTTATTTTCTCATAATAATAATAATAATAATAATTCAAAACATTTATATAGCGCTTTTCTCTGCACTCAAAGCGCTTTACATAGAGAGAGGAATCTCCTCAACCACCACCAGTGTGCAGCATCCACCTGGATGATGCGACGGCTGCCATAGTGCGCCAGAACGCTCACCACACACCAGCTTGCTGGTGGAGAGGAGACAGTGATGAAGCCAATTTGTATGTAAATATGGGGATGATTAGGAGGCCATGATAGACAGAGGCCACTGGGCAAATTTGGCCAGGATGACAGGGTTACACAAAGACATCCTGGGATTTTTAATGACCACAGAGAGTCAGGACCTCGGTTTAACGTCTCATCTGAAGGACGGTGCTCTTTGACAGTATAGTGTCCCCATCACTATACTGGGGCGTTAGGACCCACACAGAGCAGGGTGAGCACCCCCTGCTGGTCTCACTAACACCTCTTCCAGCAGCAACCTGGTTTTCTCAGAAGGTCTCCCATCCAGGTACTAACCAGGCTCAGCCCTGCTTAGCTTCAGTGGGCAACCAGTCTCGGGCTACAGGGTGATATGGCTGCTCATGTAGTTTATATTTAGCTGGTCCCTTCCTGCTTCAATTGCTCCACCATCATCCCCATCACAAGGAAACCCAGGACTGAATGACTGCAGACCTGTTGCTTTAATATTGAATATCATTTGGGAGACTGGTGCTAACCCACTTGAGGGACATCACTGGAACCTTCTAGTTGTAGACACTCTTTAGTTTGCTTATCAAGCAAACAGGTCCATGATTGACGCACTACATCCAGCAACAACTAGACAAATAAATGAGGATCGTGTTCGTGGACTGTTGGTCCCACACAAACAGCACTGGTGCTCCACAAGAATGTGTGCTCTCCCCACTACACAAATGACTGTACCTCTACTGACCCCTGTTAAGCTCCTAAAGTTTGCAGATGACACAATGGCCTCATTCAGGGTGGCTATGAATCTGCATTCAGAAGATATGTCTAGCTGGCTGTCTGGTGCAGTCACAACAACCTGGAGTGGAACCAGTGGAGATGGTAGTAGACTTGAGGAGGAACACCCCAGCTCTCCCCCCACTCACCATCATGAACAGCACTGTGGCCGCCGTGAAGTTCAAGTTCCAGGGTAGGGTTGCACCAGTCATTCGTGAATTCTCACAGGGATAGTTCACTTTAAAATTATTTTATTGATAGGTTTTAGCTTACCTCAAGGCCATCCAAGATGTAAGTGTCGTTGTTTCCACAGTATTTTCAATTTTCTTTTTTTCGGTCCAACCGGTGTTGTCTGTCAGTCATATAATGGAGGTTTAAGGGGTCCACCTCAAAGAGCATGCACAGAGAAGTCCAAATGAAACATGATTTAATGACTCGTAAATGTAAGTACACATTAATGGCCTAAGACACAAAACGAGCGGTTTATGTGAGAAAGGGAACAGTATTTATATCGTTTTTACCTCTTGTAACCACAGCCGCGTCCAAATGATCTGAATCAGTTGTCCATTGTCCAACTGAACCGTGTTCAACGTTCCGCCGGAAGTGATCTCTCGCGGGTGTACGTCACTCATTGTTACATCGTGTACACAGAGATTTCAGAAGTTTTAAAATAATTTTCCAATACGTCATCAACAACATTCATCCTCATTAAATGATAATGCCTCATTAATAAATACAAATAAAATAATTTGGGACAAAATTCTTGAAATAACCATTTATTTCTATTAAATACAACACAGACAAATCCAGTTAGTGTTTCTGCTGTGACTAGCTGCAAATATATATGTATAATCTATAATTATATCTAATTTAGATCATAACAAACTCTTTAAACAACATATCCTGTACATATTAAATACATCTGCAATTCAGGTGAAATTGCGAAGTTCATGTTAAAGGTATTAAAAACCTGTGCTAACACCAACTTTCTAGTGTATGCTTGTTGGGTCCATGTATTTTCCCTGCAGTGTGTATATAATGTGTAATGCATCTCAATCCTTTAGTTTTTGCAAAATAATGACCAGTTAAAAGTTATGATAAGGGCCTGAACACTGCAAAAAAATAACACCTGGAACTGGCATACTGAATGTCCTATTTTCAATTTTCTGAGTGGTTGGCAGGACACTTCCAAGCAATAACCAAAAACTACAAAACTTATGTCCTGCATTCTCTTGTTAGTGTGTGTATCTTTCAGGGCAATGTGTCCTGCTGTGTGTTAGTCTGTATATAAGAGATTGCATGTAAGTCTGGGTGGTGTTTCTTGGTGTGTATGCGCAGGTACTGTTTGCCTGCGAATCGTTTTCCACAGCGGGTGCACTCGTACGGTCTCTCTCCGGTGTGGACAGTCTGGTGAGCCGTGAGGTGTCCCGACTGCGTGAAACGCTTCCCGCACTGCTCACAGCGATACGGCCGTTCTCCAGTGTGAATGCGCATGTGCGTGTCCAAACTCTGCGATGTGGTGAAACTCTTCCCACAGATTGAGCAAATGAAGTGTCGCTTGCCGGCTCCACCCCCGCGTAGAGCGCCCAACCGCCCATAGAGACCCAGCCCTGAGACGTTACCCAGAGCAACGAGCCGCTGAGCAGCAAACAAGGGTGAATTATGGGATACAAAAGAGTCTGACCCACCAATCCTCTGTGGTGAGGTCTGCAAGTGTGCGAGTGTGCTACGGACAGAGTGTGCGGCCCAATCGGATACCGGGTCCAGATCGGCCTTCGCACACAAGTCTTCCTGAAGCACTCGATGATGATGGGAAGCGCGAGTATCCGACATGGTTTGAGCAAGGGAGAGGGAAGCGTTATCTGAAACAGACAAGTCGACGCTGGAGTGCTGGGATTCATCTGCGCCGGAGTGTGTGTCTGCAAATGTGAGCGTATGGGAGTGTGCGTCATGGTCAGGGGAGTGTGAGAGTGTGTGAGAGTCCTGTCCCGAGAGCTCGGCAACATCTAGTTTAGGAGAGTCGTGAGCTACCGCAGAGACACTTTCACCTTCGTCCTCGTCGTCGTCCTCATCTGTCAAGAAACAGACAGCATGAACACACCACACTCTTTTTGAAAAGGGTTGGCATGGACTTTCAGGTTCATTCCAGGTACATTTTCATGTCCCTATAATACATGCACTAATAAATTAGATCATTTTGAGTAGAATTGATAAAGTAAAAAACTGTTCACTGGGCTTTTACCATTTAATTGTATTAGTAATAATAAACAATAGTAGGAATTACTAAAAAGTTAAAGTAATAATTTGCATAGAAAATATATTTAATATATACATATAAATAAATATATATAAATATTTGCATACCTAACTGAACTAACCGTACTGACTGACACGATCAGATAAGAAGAAAAAAAAATGAACTGGCAGAATAATGATGCTATTGTCTTCAGTAGAGCTGTTTTCTAGTGGAAATTGAAGTTGTCATAATTGGTATACTGCATCACTCAAACTGTTACTGAACTAAACTGAATTAACATTGAATAATGTTACTATTGTTTTGAAGAGCTGCTTTATAGCTGAAATTGAAGTCATTTCATAATTTATGAACTTGGCAACAATGACACTATTGTTGAAGTTAACTGACCTGAATAAAGACACTACAGTGAATAGTGTAAAGTACAGATATACTTTATAGCTGAAATCAATGTTGTTTCATAAATTATGAACTTTGAAACATTAATACTGTTATTTTCCTGTTTAATACCATGAAGCTGCGTAGACGCACCTTTGGCTTGCTCAGTTGTGGCATAAAAAAAGACAATAAATATTAACAAAATATCATCAATCTAACTGTACTGATGGCATCAGACTGAACACAAAAACCTGAACTAAGCTTAATAATGAAACCATTGACTTTTGCAGAGCTGCTTTATAGCTGAAATTGAAGTCTTTTCATAATTGATTCACATACTCTGCAATATTGACATGGCTACTGAACTGAATTGAATCCACATTGAATCGAATTGAGCTGAATAGTGACACTATTGTCTTCTGCACAGCTGCTTTAGAGCTGAAATTGACATTATTTCATAATTGATGAACTGCAAAACTGACACTTATTGGACTGGATTGAATCAACGCTGACCTGAACAGAACTGAACAAAGGCACTATTGTCTTCTGTTTAACTGAAATTGAAGATGTTTCATAATTGATTAACTTTGCGACATTATTCTCCTGTTTATTACCATGAAGCTGCTTTGCAACAATCTGTATTATTATAGGGGTCGACATGGACATTCAGGCTCATTCACAGTATGCAGAACATTTTCATATTCCCATCTGAGATTTGTATCATATCAGTTAGTAAAAACAAGTTAATAATATTCAAAAATGCTTTTAAAAGCAAAAAGCGTGAAATACAGAAAAAAATATAATGAAGTACGAGCCCTGGCTACTCACCTCCCAGCGGCGGCTGCTCGAGACCTTCCTCTTTGATTTGCATTGGGATCAAATCTCCTCCATCACGAAACTCACGCGCCTGGAATCAGATTAATAACAAATAATAATCGCTTTTACACACAGATATTGCTTCCATTTTAATCACACACACACAATAAATTATCATCTAACCTCTGACACTGCACCCCGGCTGGTGGACTCTCCGCCTCCGGACGTTTTTCTGCCCACTAGCGACTCGCGTGCACTGCTGTCACACCGACCGTCTCGCGTTACGGTTGTGTCGTCGCTGTACCCCCGCGCCGCAACGATAGACTCTATGAGCTGCAGTTTCCGTCGGAGCTCCTCGTTCTCCTTCTGATGGCGTGAGATCTCGATGTGTAAAACGGCGTAACCGTCGTCCACAAGCTCGCAGATCTCTGCCACCGCCGCACGAGTCAGGGTCTCCATGATGGTCGCGAGCTGGGAGTGAAACGCCCGGTAATTCGCCATCCTTCGCGCTCCTCTGCGTTTGGGCCGCCTGTAGGTCCCGCGGACAAGTGTGTACGTTGCAGTACAACTTTAGGTTAAAGTGACAGCTGCTTTCGTTATTCGTAAAGTAAAACTGTCCGGTGTTGTTTTTATTTTCTGTGTGAAATGGTGTAAACGCTCTGACTGTTGCTTGTGGAGGCTGATGCCGTTTCCGGGGGGCTTCGCTCATATGTTGTCAAAATAAAAGTCACATGTTGACTATTTTTGTATTGTTCAAATGTAACCATAAACTGCTAATTAATAAATGAAATGTCTGATTACTGAATTATTTAAATATTAATATTTAAACAATTGCACCTCCTGAAAACTGTTTTCTTCATAAATCGTTAACAGCACAACATAAATAAGGACAGACAGAATGATGTGGGCGATGCAAATTGCCTATTTGTTTACTCTGGAGCAGGCTAACAAACATAAATATATACACACATATTCTGGACATTCCATCTCCTACCAAGAGACTACAATGATTTAAATTTAGGGAAATAAATTTCACACATTTATTTAAGGCTCAAGACTTTGGTTGGTTTATTTGACTCCAACTGCAAACAATGGCTTCAGATAAATTGTTTTGTAAAGGACGAAGAGTTCTAAATCATGATCCTGTATATTTCATTATCATTCTGCATGATATCAGACACTTAGAATGATGTTATTACATACAGCTTAATAAGTGTTCTTTCGTGTTTACAGGTATGTTCTCAACTGTATCAGAAAGAACTGGTAAAAAGTATAGAATATAACAAATGTATTAATCATGGCATAAGGACAGGCATAAGTACACACGTCAGATGTACGTGAATAAGGGTGCATTTATCTGCGGCTGGTGGAACCAGATTTCCTCTTCCCAGAAAGGAGATGTTTAGGTTTGAGATCAAATACATGTCGATCAGATTCACCCTTCCTTCCTTGCCTGTTCATGTCCTTCTGTGAGCTCTTCATCATGGTCTTCACCTTTTTCAACATCTGGAAGAAATGAGACAATAAATCAACTGAACATGTTTGTCCTTTGAGCAACATCTGGAAGATCTTTTCCAATAACCTACTATATGACTAAACATTAAACATCCTTTCATACACAACTTGATTTCAAACTTGTCTTGTACATGAATACAGGCAGTTTCTGAATCTGACCTTGGCATCTCTGACTCCTGATTGGTCCCTTGGTGGTCTTGAGGCGCTCTGACTGCGAGTACGTGACGTCGGTGGTGTGGAGACTTCCCTCTTCCTCTTTCGAACCAGAGAGCGAGATCGTTGAGCATAGTGGCTCTAAAGGAAAAAAGGTGAACACAAACATGTTCAGTGTACACAGAAACAGATCACCATGACCAAATGGTATACAAAATCAAGCGTGTTCCCACTAAAAATACAGAGCATGAAAATGTTATAAGTAGACAGGTTCTTACATCATCTTTATCAGTCATGTCCAAACCCAGATCACCCATCTCCTTCTCCAGAGTCGCTCTGTCCACCTGCATTCCCAAACAGACCATTCAAATTAAGCCATCTTTGACAAGCTAACAAATCAATTGCAAACAGAAAAATGTGATCTAATAGGTTGTTTAACAACAAATATTCCATAATGAAAATTAAAAAGTAATCTGAATAATTACATACTTCACCTAAAATAAGCAAGTAATATCCAATATTTAACTACTTGCTATAATATAAACATGTTCCTGCTGGACAGAAAGACAGACCTTCTTGGCCGTGCGGGGTATTCTTGGTCCCTGTTTGTCTTTTTCTTTGGACTCGAGAATCTTTAGCTTCCGCTTCTCGCGAATCTGACTGGCCAGCTGTCGGATCTCCTTCATCTCTTCATCCTCGCTCTCCTCATCAGAGTCGTACTCTCCGGCCTTCTCACGCAGCTCCTCTTCCTGCTCCAAATCCTCCAGTCTCTGAGAATAAGAGAAAGGACAGAAATTCAGAACATGTCATCTGAAAAAGAATGTAACCAAATAAAAAATAAATAAATAAAAAAACAGTGAGAAACAGTGAGGACGGACTGAATTATCAGCGATTACAGTCATGAAAAGAGATAATAGGTTACATATTAAAGCTATAGCATGTTTTAATACCTTCATGATCTCCGGGTCGACGTAGTCAGCAATATTGTGACCCTCCCAAATCTCAGGAATCTTATCCTCCTTTTCTTCTGGATTCATCAAATCCCAGTATTCTGAACACACAAGACAACATTTACATTTTTTTTAATTGTCTAAAGCAGGGGTTCTCAAACATTTTGGTGCCAGGGACCCCTTTCAGGGGAAAAAAAATTCCAAGGACCCCCCTCATATTTATAACAGTTATTGAGCACAAAGTTAATGTGTGAGCGGCAAATGAAATATTTTTGCACAAAATGAATGGTCTCCACCCAGGGTAATATGCAGGAATTTCTAAATAGCCTACTGAGGTAACGAAAGTGATCTTGCTAGGAATCACTTAGGATCCCTCACTTAGGAATTTTTGATGTTCTTGATCTACACATGTGCATTTTAAGGTGTTTTAAGGCCCCACAATTGGATAACTATAGATTTAGTAGAAGCATGTCAGTCAGTGGCATACATTTTTTTTTTTTGTCAAGATGTCACGAAACACAATCACATATTCCAATCAGGAATGGCCTTAAAAGAGAAATGTTTCAATAATTAGGCCTATTCTGCACACAAATAAAGCCCATAAGCCTATAAATACAATGATAATGGCATTATGTTTAGGTGCGTGCGTTGTTAATTTGAGCTACTGTAATTAGCTAAAAAAAAAAACATACAGTATATGTTAAATATATGAATCCATAATGTTAATCTCATGGGCACAGTATGTTTCTATTGACCTGCTTTTTCCTTTGTTAAAGTTGAGCTTGATTAATACTTTGCAAACTGATTGTTTCAGTCGTTTTTTAAAACTTTTATCTAAAACAGCTGTTTAGTTTATGTTAATTAAGGCCTACATCTTATCTCGCACTTTATGACCGTTGACTGAAACGTCGCGCGGGGAACTTTGAGTTCACTCCGACTCAAACATTTTGACATTGACGAGCTATCGTTGTTAGTCTGCTGAAGCACCTCAGACGAGAAGGTCAGTATCATCGCGATGTGCATCCTTGCAACCTCAGTTGTGGGTACGGCCCTGTCACTATGCACTTTTATTTTGATAATGATCAGACTTCTAATGTCAAATCTACAGTAGCAGTGCTAGAACTGACTATTGTGCGCGCACGCGAGACGCCGGGGCGCAATTACATGGGAATTTTTCCTCAGCAGTGGAAACAGGAATAGGCTACTCTTATTTATGGTCATAGATAAGACAAGAGTGCATCATCCGAAACGGTAAAGTGTCCATTTTTTTTATTTGTGTATAGGCTACATTATAAATGACTACAAAATGTCATGCCTTTTAAAAATACAGAAAAGAACCGGATGCGGGTTCATGCCGTCTCTCTGTCTCCTTTCTGGCGCACGTCCCGCAAAATCAACAGCAGCGAATAGTCTACTTGACGCAAAGACATAGATTATCTATCTATAGAAAACTTTAAGTGTCTACTTTTGTATTGTTTTATGTTAAATGCTTTATATAAGTTACTTAGGAATAAACAGCATGTTTTCAGATGATAAAGAAAACATGACTCATAGCATGGAAAAAAACGTTAGGTTGTAAATTACGCGGACCCCACTTTGAGAACCACTGGTCTAAAGTCATTTTCTTTCAGACACATCTGCAGTGTATATCTTGTGTACATGTATATGTGTGTGTTTATATCATACTCTGTAGATCAAGTGTGTAATCATCTCCCAGCTCAACCTCCAGGTCTCTCTCCAGTTTGCGTTTGGGAGCATCTGTCTCCATTGCCTTCCTACGTATCATAGCACCTTCGGGAATAAACGGAGGCCTTTCCTGCAAAAACCAAATCAAAAACTTTTACAAACACACTAATGTTTGCTAGAAGCAGTTATGAAGAAATAAGCTTAGATCCAAGCGGATAATGGTTTAAGAAGTGCGAAGAGCATGTACCTTTTGATCTCTCTTGGCTGGCACTGCCAGATGGAGTCTGTTCAAAACATCATGGACCTTCTTGCTTTTCATTTTTGTGTCCACACGGTGAGCCAACAGCCGATCACATGCCTGTATATAATAATAATAATAATTTCACAAATCATCAACGGACATCAACCTACAATAGTCTTTTTCTCTAAAACCTGGCTGATCTCAGTAAGCCTATGTGAGAAAAAAGCTGATTGGTTGGTCTTACCTCAGTCTTCACAAGCATCACTCCCTCTTCAGTGAGAGTGCTCGTCTCAATCACTGTGACCCCCTCAGCAGTGAGATCCGCAAACACTTTCTACACACACACAGAGCTCAGTTTAGTGTCACTGCAGAAAGTCTCAAGTTGCAGGTATTCTTTTATAACGTCCATTAAACTCTAAACGGTTTGAGATTAAATCTAGTATAGATCTAGATAAAGATAAAGGCTAAAATAGTGACACAGTAGGGAACAAATAAAAGAACAAAGGCTGCATTTATTTGATCAAAAATACAGTAAAACTATTTTTACATTTTAACATAACTTTTCTATTTTAATATATTTAAATATAACATAAAATGTCATTTATTCCACAAATGGAAATGCTTAATTTTCAGCATCATTACTCTTCAGTGTCACATGATCCTACTGAAATCATTCTAATATGCCGCTCTTGTTCTAAAGAAACATTTCTTATCAGTGTTTGTAAAAACCCAATTCTTCTTTTACCCTTTATTAGTAAATAAATCCCTTTATTAGTTTCCTTCAGCTCCAGGACTGTATTAGAGGATTCAGAATGTAATTTACCTGATTCTCGTCCGACAGTTCACTGATCTTCTTCACATCACACTTATTGGCCATCACGATCAAAGGCTGCATCACACAAATAACAATCACTGCTATCATTCAGCCCAACAAAACCATATTGTTTCACCTCATGTACATCTTTGTATGTGTGCGTACCTTGTTGGCAAACAATGGCCGTATATTGTTGAACAGTTCTAGTTGTTGTGAGAGTGTGTGTCCGCACTGCTCTGACACATCCATGACGTAGAGGACAGCAGAACGCAGGTGAGCCAGAGCGGTGATGGCCTGCATTTCTATGGTATTCCTTTCCTCAAGAGGGTGATCCAGAATACCTGGAGTATCAACCACCTACAAACACAGTAAATAACAGGTTCGGAAAATTTTTATAATACAAAATTGTAGAAATCAATTAAATGAAATCAGTTGTCCAGGAATCCTATATTTTTCTACCACTCACCTGCCAGCGCAGGTATTTGTAATCCATGTGACCCACAAACAAAGATTTGGTGGTGAAGGCATACGGCTGGACCTCAACATCAGCACGGGTCACCTGTACATCCATTAAAACTTCATTTAAAACAAGTTTGAAGTTTAAAACTTTGACAAGTTTTTGTGCTCCTGTATCTGTGTGTGCATAGCGCATTCTCCACTCTCTGTGTACGAGTGATGTGTGCATTAATGAAAACAACGCATTAATATAGAACGGTGATTAGTTGGAATGCATTTAAGGACGCGGCAAAGTGGAAGTCAAGGCTGTAGCAAAAATGTCAGAATTGAGTTTCATTTATTAGGTCATTCCTCAAGTGGAATGGATTTGACTGATTTGTGTTCTGAAAAGTGAACAGACATATGCACGATGATATAATCCATTGTATAATAGACGTAAATGTTTTTAAAACAATTTTAATGAGTAGTAAGCTAATCTATATCCTCACAGTGTGTCGGTTATGCGGTGATGAGCTATGGAATTATGGCAGAGCAAATTAATTTTAACAATAATTTAATAAATAATATTAGTATCCTAATAATAATAATGATAATAAATGTAATACTTTAATTGGAAATCCTCTTGCCAATATAATAGTCTATTGGTACAACCCTACAGTGCACACAGATTTGACGTTTAACCTACATTCACATGCACAAACAAACCTTGTTGATAAAGCTGGACTTGCCGACGTTGGGGTAACCACACAGCAGGAGGGTTCTGGTGTTTGGATCAATAGTGGGTAAACGGGACAGATGCTGCCGCACTACGAAAAGATAAATATGCATTTACTATGTGCATCAGATGTAAAAGTTCATGCTTATTTTTGTTTAACATTTATGCTTTAATGGGTGAAGCCAAACATTAAAAATGACAGTAAAAACTCTGTCACAAAATATTTCCATTTCAAATAAATGCAGATCTTTTGAACTTTCCATTAATCAAATGTATAAAAAAAAATAAAAAGGCAGATACATTTTCAACATTGATAAGAACACACACATTATACACACACATGTAATTTAAATCATAATAATATTTGACAATATTACTGTGTTTACTGTATTTTTGATCAAATAAATGCAGTCTTGGTGAGCACCAGAGACTTCTTTAAAAACATTTTTTTTTTTAAATCTTAAGGACACTAAAGGTTTGTGTTTCGGTTTACCAGAAAACCATCTGATATTAAGAAAAGTATTAGTGAATGTGTGTAAGTGGTTGTTACCTTGTTCTAAATACTCCAGACTCTGTTTCTGTCTCTTTAATATAGTGCACATGCGACCCAGTGCGGCCCTTTTCAGCTGTTTGCAGCGATAAAGCGAATCTCCATATTTCATGAGCCGCACATAATCTTTAGCAACACTACAAATGCAGACACAGTTTTACTCAGTTACAGTAAATGAATTTCACAGACCCACAGATATGAGCAGACCTCACAAGGGATACATTTAAAAATCAAAAAAAGGATGTAAATGATCTCATGTATCAGCCAACATCTTTATATTAAAATCAACCACAAATAAAGCTAGAGTATACATGCACGATGATGATTAACCCAACAGACTCACTTGTCAATGAGGTTCTTGGCGATGTTGATCTGACCAAGAGCCAGTTTATAATGATCTTTATCATACAGCACATTCATCAGATCAGCATAGAAGGGGTGGATATCCTGAGAGAGATAAAACGGCAGTCATTTATCTACTAAAGGGATGATTAAGAAGGATCAGCTTGTGTATTGTGAAGTTTGGGTGACACTTACATCCAGTTTGGGGAAGTCAGTGAGGATCTGTGACAGCCGATCATGGTAGTTCTGCTGGGTGAATTTGACTTTGCGCATGTAGAAATGCCTTATTCGGTGGATCTGGTAGTGTTTGTGTACAACAGTGGGAGTTTTTCGCTGGGTTTTGGATAAAGTCAGATCTATGAAGTCCTGCATGAAGAGAATCAAACAAAGAAATGGATTGTGTTTGATTTACTATTCCTTATAACAACAAAAGCTTTGAGTAACATTATTGAGGCACACCAGGGTTCCCACATATTTTGGCAAATGACCTATGATTTTTCCAAATATTGATTACTACTTGAGGATTTTATATAATAACCAAATTATAATAAATAATTGTATAAAAGGTTGTACTGACATCAATTAGACAATGAAATACAACTAGAAAAGCTTATATACCCACTAAATTTCCACTATATTTGCATTCATTTTCCAGGAATGGATATATATATATATATGAAGAGTTCAGATGCAAAAGCCTCTAAATGCCATTTGAAATTTTCTTCTTTAATTATGATTTTTTTTTTTCAGTAATTTCACTTAAATAACAATTAATAGGTAATTATCATTGCCATTTAAGTGAAATCACTGAACTTAAATTTACAAGTTTGATCAAAATCATCATTAAAGAAGAAAATTTCAAATGGCATTTAGAGGCTTTTGCATCTGAACTCTTCATATATATATATATATATTACATTACATTTAAAAATATGCATACTTTCAATAACCATGGGGACCTTGGCACACATTTTGGGGCTAGTGGTTTAATTCAACAACTGACAACAAATGTAAACAAAAAGTAAAGTAATCACAGGACGAGTTACCAAAAATTGAGTTGATCTAAACTTTTTTTGGCTTATTAACTAAACAAAGATCTCAACCGCATTAATATTTCATCCCCTCCCCAGATGTTATAAATGCAAAACCACTCGTTCTTCGTTTTCACATATGGGGCCATTAAAAACATGCTGACACAAATGAAATAACTAAAATTACAAGAATGAAAAGTTAAATGGCTGAAGAACGCGCGCACGTGTTACAGAGCGAGCAGCATACTGTCAACGTCCGTTATTAACGGCAACACCATCAGCACTTTCTATGGCATTTAACCCCACATATGAGTGTCAAAACACGTCGTTAATTTCCTACCTTCGCGGTGGGAACCACCATAATCTTTTTAAAGTTGTACAGAGCCATGATTGCGGCACACGCGAGTCCTCAGTCCTCAGCAGAGCACGCAGAAGGGCCGAAACACGCAGCGGACGCGTGTCACGAAGAGCAACACACGTGGTACCGCACTGACGCGACCACAGCGTCACCTACCGGAGGGAGTAGCCACACGGATCACTGCAACTACAGTGCAGAACCACCATGTCGCATTGATGATAACAAGGATAGCAGAAGCACAGTTTTAGGACTTACGTTTGGATCGGGTCATTTTGAATCAATGTTATCGCACTGGGCTAAAACTTACTGACTTTGCTCATACAGGGTACTACTTCCCACAATTTTTGTACTTTTTTGAGGATTAATGTTTAACCAAGAAGTTTGTTTTGAAATGCTTTTATCTTGTAAAAAATCAAAGTCACACTTGTGGTGGACAAAAAATGACCTGCCCCCCCCAATTTTTTTTTGTATAAATCTGTTGTAATGCTATATCATCACCAAATATTGGATACAATCTTTTTGTCAACTTATTTTGTATTTCTTTTTGAAACTGACTGATTGTAGGCTTCATCAATCTAAGCTTGTATTGGTCAAAAATGACCATCATCGATGAATGGGGGAGATTGAAAATAAGAGAAACATTTAGTGTTCATCGTGTTCTTATGTATGCTTGCAAAGATTAAGGCCTCGGACCTGTCCATGCATGGATACACGAACACTCACACACGTTCATATACACAAACTATTTTGAGTATTACAGGCTACATGTTACAGAACGTGTTTTCACAGAGATGAAGGCCTACGTTCAATAAGTTTCAAAAAAAAGTACAAAACCTGTCCTAATTGAACAAGTTGACAAAAAAAATGTAATCCAATATTTGGTGATAATATAGCATAACGAGCGATTTACAAACAGGTTTAGTCCTAATGGCTCACTCTGGGTTCAGCGGCAAATGTTCAAAGGGCAAAATGGTAATTTTGAAATAGAGCTTCGATTTGATTACATTTCTGTTGTAAAATGTTAAAGTAACATTCCAAACCACACTAAATCACAGCACAAAATCAAAATAATTTTATTTAGACAATTTATTGACACATCATTTATTTGTACAAGTAAAACAAACCAGATTAGGAATTTCTGAAGGTTTGCCCCTGATTAGACAAGCCTTTAAGTAACTTCAAATAAATAATTGTATTAACGGGTCTTCTGTTTGCAAACAGAGCACAGTAACATAGGAAGGGTTGGGGAAAAAGAGGGAGTGGAAAATGAAATAAACATTTTCCTCAGCAGTAGTTCAGTGTGTATCATGCTCTGTTTCTACCAAAGTCCAGCAGTGATCAGGAATTAAGCTGATATCTGCTCAGAGCTAGAGATGACAATCATCACGCGTGTTACCTTCAACACCACAAATACTGGCTCAATTGCAGCGTAATCAGAACACGAGCATATTTTCAAGAGTATACATAATGCTTGTCTGAACATGAGATGACGTATCTCCTATATATGAGTTGTGTAATTTACCGAGATGACTGTTGACCACCAACATACAATCAATAACAGAAGAAAACATTATTAATACTGATATGATGCACAAAAGTCAAAGGTTATGAAAAAAGGACACAGAAAGACTTTACAGATGTGTGCACTGCAACGTTGCACACACTGTAATTGTAGTACTAAAAAGCTAAACATTTCAACACACAACAGAACATGTGAAAAAAAAAATGGAACAAAGTGAAGTTAATACGGTGGGCGGAGTTTAAAGTTTGGGAGGAGCAACTGCTTGTGTGAAGTCAATCCTGTGGGAGGAGTTTAGTCTGTGCATGTCAAATATAGTTGGTAGGGAGGATGCTTTAGGGGAGGAGTTTAAAGATTGGGAGGGGCTAATGCTATTCACAAGAGGCGTGTTTGACTTGAAGCAGCTGACGATTCAGTGTATGACATTGAAGTGATTAGAGAGCAGATGGCTCTCAATGCTATCAAATAACACTCAGGGTACTTTAACGCCATCGGTCAGCTTCAAGTCGAGCACACCTGATGAGTCAGTGCTGTGGGAGGAGTTTGCATAGTAAAATTTGCAGTCTCTTTCCCTTCACTGTTGTAACATGAATGGATGAATCAATGAGGTAAACAAGTACATGTATTTATCTACTGTACAGATGAAGCAGAAGAGTATGTGCACACCTAACACTATAGGTAACTAGATGAGATAACTACGGTAAATGTGTTTGAATGTGTGTATATGTATGTGATGATTACCAGAGGTATTTGTCCTGCTGAGGTATTGTGTCAAAATTGTTTTATTACTAATCAGTGCTTCACACAAATACTGCAATATTGTGTGTTTAACGTGTATTTTTTTGTGTTTTTTTTAAAAGGCACCAGCAATGGCTATAAGCTGTGTGGCGTTTTTTTCCCATTTACATAATAATCGGCCCTCTTAAATGTATGATGTTTGCATGCATGTGTATGAGCAAGTGTAAGCATGTGTGTGTGTGTGTGCATGGCTCCAACACTCACACTGCCACTTTTTCAAGAGACCGTATGGGTGGAGTTATTGCTTTCAGGCCATTCCCAGGGCAACTGTTACCACGGCTAAGAGCGTGTCCAGTTGTCATGGCAGCATGGGAGTGTTCAGGTGGCCGGGGCAGGAAGACAGGACAGGAGCGTGTGCGTGCGTGACCTTTGTGACCTCCAGCGTGGCAGATGAGGTGGCTCACCGTGTCCAGCGGGGAAAGCGTGTGCGAGTGTGTGTGTGTCTGCTCTTCACGCTGCTTCAGCGAATACCAGGTGAGGAAGATGAACAGAAAGCCCAGGAACTTCAAGCTCGCCGCCAGCCCAAAGTAAACAAAGCGGAGGGAAGTGACATCGTACTCCCAGCAGGACCCATGGAAACCACAATCCTGCTGCCACAGCATACAGGTGGTGTCAATCACAGCTCCAAAATAGATAGGAGTAGGGATATAGGCTGGAAAGAAAGAAAGAAAATTATTCACTAATTAGCAAGCAATTCATTAAAACACATGGGTAGTTAGCAGTATTCTACAGTTCAATGGTTTGGGGTCAGTAAGATTTTTTTATTTCTTAAAAAAGAAAATATTTTATTCAGCAAGGACATTAAATTAAACAAAAGACACCACAGTTTACACACAAATACAAAGCAAACTGTTTTCAACATTGATAATAATAATAAATGTTTCTTGAGCACCAAATCAACATACTAGAGTGGTTCCTGAAGGATCATGTGACACTGAAGACTTGAGCAGTGGTGCTGAAAATTCTAATTTTGACCAAAAGAATAAATAACGTTTTAAAATCTATTAAAATTGCAATAATATTTCACAATATTACTGTTTTACTATCTTTTTGATAAAATAAATGCAGCCTTGTTGAGCATAAAGAGACTTCTTTCAAAAACATTTTAAATTATCACAAAAATGAGTCTGATAACTATTCTAAAAGCATATTATTGTCCAGCTCTAGCTGACAGTCACAGAAATATAAGAAGGAGTTCTGTAAAATCTATCCAATCCTACCAAGAGTCCTGAGAAGAACGAACTGCATTCCCAGAGCAAACGGCCTGTCCTCTTCATCCACTGACCTGCTCAGAAAATAAGAGCGAGAGATGAGCGAAACAAAGAGCAAAAGAGAAATGATATCCGAGGACATGGAGAGAGGCAGACCTGAGCGTAACGATGATGACGGACGGCTGACCGCAGGCGGTTATGAGAGTGACGATGAAGAGAAAGATGAGGAAGGTGATGAGTGTTCCACAGGTGCGCTCACACTTTCCTGCCAGTGCGTAACCATTCTCGTTCAGGTACGTCTTCACGATCACCACCTGGAGCTCATGGTTTCCTCCTGATGGCGTGATCACCTGTCTGCTCTGAACGCATGCGCAGTCAGAATAGTTTCTGATCTGAGCAAGAGAAAACACACATAAAAAAATATCAACAATATTGACATAGACAATGTCTTAAGACAATTTCTCTGCTAGCTACATTTTTACATTTTTATTTATCCTATTTTTTTTTTACCATTATTTATCCTAAGGCAAATATGAAAATATGTTGTCTTAAACAAAAATGTATTAAATTATTTTTAAAGGGGAAAAAAATCAGTCAATCATTGTAGCCCTCAAACCGTGTTCACTTTATAGCCCTTAATCCTGTAATTGTGGACAAATGTGGGCACAGAGGACTCAGGTGTGATTCTAATGTTTATTTATTATAAATGTTACATCAATGTCTTCGATAAAGTTTTTTCTATCCATTTATGGTGTGTTTTTTTTATTTTGAGGGTATTTTTGAATTTATTTACTTCAAAAAGTACCATATTTTCTATGTAAATTATGCTTATTTTTATGTTTTATTTTTTTCATTTTTTCAACCACATTAAAATATCATTCCAATAAGTTATTCGAGCTAAAACCTAAAGATGAAGTGACTTTGCTGTCATCTGATGTCTTATATTGGCTTATTTTAGAATGCTCTAAATTACAGTGTTTCCCATTAATTTCTATGGGTGCCCATTTTTGACCCAAATACAAGATTAAGGAGTTTTTTTTCACCCACTTAACATAGTAGAATTAAGTCAAAAAAATGTTTGTGTATTCAGGAGGCAAACTTAGGAAAAGTAGCGAGGTCTTGTACCGCTCAGATCAAGGAAGTTTTGTTTTTTTTAAATAAATCAAAACTATTTTACCCACATTTGTCCAGAATACAGTTTTAGGGATAGCAAAACACACATCTTTGTCAATATTCAATATTTCAATATTTCATCTCAAACAAATCTCTCAACTAATGCCGTTAACTATACAGGGAACCCTGTCAGCTGGTATATTCCTATAATATTAAAGGTTACATTTAACAACTGATTTGTATCATAGATATGCATAGGAACTTGGAAGGCAGTTCTAATAATAAATTTTTAACTATATAACTATGTTTCTACTCAAATTAGATTTTTTGAAATATAAACATTTAAATAGTGGGCATTCATAACAACTTGTTTTCATGAATGATTTATACACATACATTTCATTAAATATTGAGGAACGGGTTAAGTAAAACATGCTCTATGCACTGGG